ATTCACAGTCCAATTCTAGGTATTGTCCTCGACTCCAATTTGTAAAGGACTGGTATTTCATGAGCAGACAAAGCAGTGGTATGGAGCCGATTAAGAGATAGAGGAACTTTCGTTTATTTAGAGAACTTCCATTTATTTAGAGAGGAACTTCCATTTATTTAGCTGCAGAGTAAGGCAAAGATGTTTGAACAGACTTGTTGCGAAAGAAAAACAGTCCGAAAGTTTATCGCAGCAAAATTAGACTTCTTTGTCAATGGCCATTGAACAAGCACCTAACAGAAGGCTAAAATCGACGATCTCACTTTTTGTTCCCATCTCTTAGGTTCTCGAATAAGAGTGGATTGTTCTATGTGCACCTAGTCAGGCTGAGAACAGGTTGAAAGCTGGCAGTTTCGGAATCCGTTGTGCAAGCTTCCTAGTCTGGATTACCATTTGATTCGGACTGCTGCTGAAACAGCTTTAGAACTTTGCCACATACGTACCATTCACTAAGTCTGCTTTGGTCCATCAAATATTTAAGTCTACAGAAATTATTTTTCACATTCTTTATTTCCGCATTTATTGTACTGATTGCTAATGTTTTCGAAGCTATTTTAACTTTTCAAAAAGCAATTTTTGGGGACTTTTCTTTGCTATCTTTGGACAAAGAAAGGACAACAGCACGGTTTAGCCCTTGCGGCTGAATAGAATAATTGGAGAGACAATATCCAACCATTCTAAAGGCTTTTGAGAGGTTAAATATGCACTTTCAATTTGACTATACTCAAAGGGGAGCCTTTGTCCTTCGATCAGCTCAATAAAAGTGAAACATAAAAAAGGAGATGATTGTCAAACCGTATCTTCCTTATTCCTAGTCGGTAGGTACGGTTTTGTAGAGGTTCTGTGACGAGTTACTGTTGTAACTCTTACTCTATTTCGTATGCAGACCGGTCCACATGAAGCCCAAAGGCTCTTTGGATTTCATTCTTGTTCTTTTCTGATATTCTTTTGTCCTACAATATTGTTAAACTCTTTTTTAGATAAGGTGCCCTAATGAATATCTGCTTAGAAGTACTCAAATTGCTTTTAATCTATCCAATTTCATTGATTCCTGTTGCTCCACAAAAACATGAAAGGCACAGAAAAAAATTTGAAATTTTTTTTTGCAGCAGTCATATATGCAAGAGTAAAAATATGTAAATCTAATCGAATATAATCTCAGGTAATCGTCTAAGCGAATGATGTACCTGCGCACTCTATGCTTATTTCTCATTGTATTCGCATTTGCTACGGCATACGAGGCAAACGATGCCGATCTTGCGAGGTTCACATCATATGTGAGATAATTAAGAACATCGGTTGCGTTTGCGCGATCTTTTATTTTTACAGTGCAACGACTTCTGCAAAGTCCGCAACGGTAGATACAGAAGGGAAAAGCTAAGCATAGAAGAATGCGTGGAGCAGTGTTACGAAGAAGTGGAACGGCTGTGGAAAACAGAAAAAAATTAGAAGGCGGTGCAGAGATAAAATTCACTTCAATTTAGAAGTAATTGTTCTCTAATAATCGAATAAATATTGAGTTCTTAACACATGTTTCTTAACGCATTCATGACAAGTTCGATTTTTCGATTACTGCCGTTTCGGACCAGAGCCTTTTTCGCTTTGTCAAGCTTACGACCCACCCGTGGGTCGTGTTTTCCGAAATGGTAGTCTTTTTGAGAAAAGTTATGAACATGTCTCCGAGAGTGTTCCCAGAAGGGTAAACGAAGGCGCTGATTGTCAAAAAATGATTTAATTTTGTTTTTGGTCCCGAGCCCGGTCCACTCTGGCTAACTTTCGCCTAGGTGTCCCCAATCATGTGCCAGAAGCCCGTAGAATTCCATAGTAAACAGGCAAAGCTAGAGCTTCAGGAATCTTACGACCCACCGGCGGGTCGTATTGTCGTGAATGTGTTGAATTTAATTTCTTTGGATGCAATGCATGAAAGAAGACAAAGCACGATCACCGATTGTAATTGCTGTGTAGAGGGTGGTGGTGGTGGTGGTGGTGGTGCGGCGCGCCGCTACTTCGAACTCTATGAGTGAACTGGATATAACGAGTAGGCAGAAATTTGCGCTTTGCAAAGGACGGAAAAGGATATACCTTTTGATTCAACTAACTTGGCGGCTGGAAGGCAGGGCTTCGTGACCTAATTGAGGCTAGGTAATGATCAGAGAGCGCGCGAGAGAGACGCAGACTGCGTAGCGGGCGCGGGAGGCCTTAATTAGGTCACAAAGCCCCGCTTTCCAGCCGCCTAGCCAGTTGAATCAAAGGTTACAAGCTTTCCGTAGAATGGCTGGCTAGTGTAATTCGCTCGGAACCTAGCAGTCCTCAAGGCGTTTCAAAACTATGTCCCGTCTCCTTTTTTCGCCGGACTTAAGGATAGCCCAATAATTAAATGGCATAACCCCTCGTTTAAGGAAAGCCACAAAAATGTCTAATCTTTTGTGACTTTTTAGCATATAGAAAAATGGAGTGATTGTTTGTTGGCAGTAACTTCCCTCTTCAGCTCACAAGGATCGCCTCTTTTTGCTGATTGCCTAAAGGCACCGTCTACCCAAATTCTCGACTTCCATGTTTTGTCGCTGTCAGGCCCTTTAGAGGCCCTAAATTTGAATATGGAGTCGAGAACCCTCGAAACCCCCTAAAATCCCCGTTTTATAGAACCCGCTGCAACAAGCACGAGCAAGGGAAAGCCAGCAAATTGGGCGGGGCGAGCATCTGGGTGAAGTGACCAGGTCCGGATACGTCCCTTCGAAGCTGAAGGAACGAAAGCAAACAATTTTTTGCGGCGCAACTTGGGAAATTGCCTACTGTGGAGGCCCACAATAATATGTTATCATAATCTTGTCAACCCCCACTTTGGGTAGACGCTGCCTTCAAATATTCTTCCGGCTTTGGAAAGGAATTAATGAAGTCTTTATGTGGAACTAGATGGCTTACCCGGCTCCGCCCGGCCCTGTCTATTTATTCATAATCAGGATGCTCGATTACCCCACCCCCCCCCCCTGTACCAACTCCCAGCCCCGTAGCTCAAATTTTGCAGAAGATCGATAAAATCGATATCGATCGATGACGAAAAGTAGCCTATGACACCCGCCGGGGCCCGAAGTGTATGTGTGCCAAGTTTGGTTCGGATCGGTTCAGAAATGGAATTTTCTATTCGGAACATACGTACACACAGACATACATACAGACAGACAGACAGACAAACAGACATTCGGCTTTATATATAAGATTTTCGCCAATGTTTATTTTGTTCAGATATGACATCGTCTCCTTAGCTCTGAAAGAAATTGAAAGGCATTCTGCTCACAGCTTGTCACACCTTTCGCAGCTACTTCGACACGCAAAAAGTACCAAAATGGCATGCTGTCACGACACATGAATTTCCTCTGTGATTGCCTAAAATGTGATATTTCTTTATAGCAAAGCTCGCTAGAGTTCCTCATCCAAGCTATAACATCTGACAAAACATATCTTCATATTGTAAGATGGGCATAAAATTGGACTACGGACCGCCTAGGGAGTAGATTTTGATAATTTGTATCCCGAACATCATACAAAGTCTTGAAAAAGAAGTTTATTGTTTCCAACGATATTTATGAGAAGTTCGTTTTACTTATGCCAGATTCAACCGATGTACAATCGAGTAGGTTTCCTTGTAAATATAGTGCACCTGTAGAAGCTTCGGCAGTTTCAGCTTCATTTAGGCGTAAACAATAGCCGCAAGGTAAGAAGCTCCAAGTAATTTCAGTATTTTATCTATCCTTCTTCATTTTTCATGCTTGCCGCGATCGAGTGGAAGTAGAAGGTAAGTTAGAAAGCAACATTAGCTGCTTGAATAGTCAAATCGTCCTTTGAGCTCAGGTGTACTTTTTGATTCAACTGGCTTGGCGGATGGAAGGCAGGGCTTCGTGATCTGATTGAGGCTAGGTAATGACCAGAGAGCACGCGCGCGGGAAAGACGCAGACTACCTCGTGGGCGCGGGCGGCCTTAATTAGGTCACAAACTCCGTTTTTCAGCCGCCAAGCCAGTTAAATCAAAGGTTAGCTTCTAGTAGCTGCCCCACTAGGTGCTAGTGACGTAACCCTTCCTTCTTTATCAAAAATTTCCACAATTGTCTAACATCAGTACTTTATGTGATAAGGGAAGTCGAATAGGATGAAGAAAATTACTAGCGTTGAAAAGATACGTTTTTTGATAGAAAAAGAGACAAAAGAAAGGGTTCCGTCACAAACACCTAATGCGATGCATCTACAAAAAGGTAGTGAACTCAAACGACGACATAACTAGTCAAAACAACAAAAGTTGGTTTCTACTTACCTTCTACTCTTGGTCGATCGAGGTAGAGCTGGAAAATGAAGAATGAGTAAAGAAAACACTGAAATTACCCGGAGCTTCGCACTTTGCAGCATTTGTTCAGGCTCAAGTGCTGCCGCTTCTGCAAGTGCACCATATTACCGGAAAATCTACTTGACTGGAAGGCGGGGCTTTGTGACCTATCTGAGGCGCTCGCGTCCGCGACGCAGTCTGCGTCTCTCCTGCTGCGCGCGTGCTCTCTAATCATTAGCCCTAAATGGGCCATGGAGCCCCGCCTTCCAGCCGCCAACCCAGTTAAATAAAGGGTAATTCCTGCAGTTACGAAATCATTCTAGTCATTTTACATTTGCAAAGGAGATTCCTCCCCCAATAATAGCGCAGAAGTGGTTACTTGCATGAGCTATAAAAGCGCGCACATAAGTTGTTTATATTTGTGAATGATAATGAGCCCGCAAAAGTTTTGTAAAACATCTTAAAAATGGTGCAAGCGGCTAATGCCAACACTCATCCGAAAAAAATTCTATGCCTTCCCCCCACTCTCCTAGAGCAGAAATTTTGGGACCGCCACTGGTGCATACATGTCAGTCGGTGTCAGGATGAGTGAGACTCACAATTATCAGTTGTTTAATAGAGCATGCACAAAATATTACGCAAAATATTACACAGTCGAACAATTGTATTTGCTCAGGGCTATCTTGTCTTGTGATGAAACATACGCCCAAGGCCAAGAAAGGCCGCAGCTGGAGGCATAAATATAGCCATTTCCCACGGAGGCTGGAATCTTTGGCGAAATCGGAGATAAATCAGAATTGGAAGCTTTTTTCTACCTCCAACTAGATACTCGCCGCCCTCGGTAAGAGACACTCCGCATGTGCTTTCATGACCTGCTGTTATGATCTTTTTTGGTATTTCCTTGATATATGACGCATTCTAAAATCTTTGATCTTTGCGAAAGTATTTTTGGAAAAATTGAACATACCTTATAGATATGGATATGTTCTACATCGTAAGTGACTTGAAAATAACGAGGTCCCTCTTTCGGGTTTGGATCATGTTTAGAAGTAACCTTCAAATGCGAAACTAAAAAATTCTTGTATTATTTGGCTATGGCGTACATTTTCGTTTCAATAAAATTCACTCACCAAAATCCGAAAAACAGTATATTTCTTCCAATGTGTTAAATGGTAGACAAGAACATGAGTCGACTTCGACTGCTGCTGTGCTCAAAGCAAAAATAATGATGAGCTTTATCTTCATCAATATCTCGAATCTAGAAATTGGTATCGTTAATTTTTCATAGTTGAACACGAAAAATATGTGATGTAAATGCACTTGCTGGAAAGATGATAGAGATGGCATAATTTTCAAAGCTGCTTCACTACTGTGTTGAAAACTTCTAGTAAATCACTGCACCTGAGATTTTTAATCTACAAAATCAGTGTCTTAAACTTTACTAGGAGAAAAATTCAAGTACTATGTTGCGAGCAAAATCTAATATAAAAATTACTTTCCGTATTTCCAGGATGAACCTGGGTTCTAATGCTAAAAGCTTTCAGATCACTTGAAAATATTTTGCCAGCAGCTAGTAAATGGAATTTTCGAATCTTTTCAAATCGATCATATTATAATAAGCAGCGTAATTTTTTGAAGACTTTTCGAATCGCTATTTGATGAATTTGACTAGTATAGTTCGCAAGATTTTTGATATAAACATGATGTGCTGTAAACGTTTTCCATAATATAAACATTTGGCTTGACGGAGATGGTGTTACCAAATGTGGACAGAATATAAAGTATTTTGAACGATGATTCTAGATTTCTCAAACTTTTTGCTGTTTTCACGATGTGTTGCAGAGGGTTTGAGAACTTATTTGAGAAGTAAAGGATAAAGGAAGAATCATGCTCAATCGATATAGTGATCAAATGCTTACAAGGGAATGGTCAGAAGTCGAAGTGGCCAATCCATTCAAGCTGCATACCATTCGATGCAGCATAAAATGCTAATTTCAAATCTGTCTTCCATATCTGCAGAGCGCCTTTGTAGGCGAAGTTATGAGCAGCTTTACTGCGAAAAAGCCGTATGCAAAAATTGCAAAATTAGGCACATTATTGCTCTCTCAGCTCAACTCTACGTACGGGTCATATGAAGTGACCTAGTTGCATGTTTTGGTCCAACACTGAGCCAAAATGGCTTTGTACGGCCAAGTTTGCGCTTTACACGCAAAATTTCTTAGCAAAATAATGGCCTTCAACGGCTCATAATATCGTCCACAAAAGCGCTCTGCAGATAAGAAAGACAGATTTGGAGTCAGCATTTTATGCTGCATCTACTGGTATGCAGCTTGTATGGATTGGCCACTTCGACTTCTGACCATTCCCTTGTTAGCTAGTTCCCATTCATTTACATGTTTGTAATGAGGTTCTGATTGGTTAGTTTTCTGGTTTTCCCCGATGTTTCCTATAAGAAATATCAACTTCTAACAGTTTCAAAAAACATCAAACAATGGTGTAAACTTGCTAGCTAATGCCACGCACTTTCATTTGGAAAAATTCTTTGTCTCCCTCCCCCCCCCCCCCCCCGCCACGAGCAAAAATTTCGAGACCGTCACTGCTGTTCACAAATCAATCTATAGCACGATGCGTCACACTTAGTTTCACTCTTAGTTGTCTATAGAACACAGGGGTTGTTATTTTATAATATACCAGTCCAAAGCGCCGCTTCGCGGCGCTTCGGACTGGCTGTGTGTGTGAAGTGGGATGTGACTTCAAAGTTAGAACTGGAAACCTTTTCTTGCGCAGACACTCAACGAACCCAGAGATCAACAAAGATAAGTGTCAGAAATTTCCTGCTTTATGTGGTTTCATAAGTACTAACAAAAGTGCCAATAGATTTTTTACCGTTTTTCCCAGCTTCCCAGGTATGTATGTTCCTGTAATTTGCAAACTTGCGCTTTGCTGTCCTCCCTGAGTTCTTCGAGCAAAATGCATCCCACTTTCCCTCAATTCCTTTTCACCCAAAAGCTTCCCTTATGAAACTTTCCAAACTACCATTCTTTTCTCCCACTCTCACATCCTTCAGATCTTACTTAGTCGTTTCAAGTCTTGCTTCAGAGATGTCGTTGAGACAATGCGAACTTACACCTTTACAGTCTGTCCCCCGAATCAGGCCAAAATTGACATGATGCGTTGCGCCCTCAAGATTCCGCGTCATGTCTGCGGTTTGCTAATGGTGGTTAGGTTGGGCTCGGCAACCTTTTCCCAGCTATGCACAATCTATTGACTGTTTTCAGCCGGGGCCCTCCCCTCCTCATCGACTGTCCTGCGAACTATCCCAACACTTCACAACACTTCACTGTCCATTAAAGGCAGTGTCCGGGCAAAAACTCGATTTTGAGATTTTGTGCTTATCTGGGCCTATTCGCCATGCTGAATCCGAAAATCCTCACCGGAAAGCGCGAAAACGGCGAAAAAGGGCCCTAACGCTGGACGGAAATTAGCAAGTGGGCGAGGTCTTCCCCAATGTGGATTCAAGCTCCAAGCTTCCGGAGCGATCTTCTTGATTCCAATTTCAAGCCATGCATTTGCACCTGGCCTGTGGAGATCTTAGAGTGCTAGCGGAATTGAGAAGATCGCTCCAGAAGCTGGGACCGCGAAACTCACAGTGGGGAAGACCCCGCCCACTTCTGATTTCCCTCCCGCGTTAAAGCCCTTTTTCGCCATTTTCGCGCTTTCCAATGTGGATTTTTCGGATTCAGCATAGTGAATAGGCCCGGGTAAGCACAAAATCTCAAAATCGACTTTTTGCCCGGACACTGCTCTTAAATCTCTTGGGCTCGTATGAAAACCTGGGCGAGATAAGCGACGTTCCCGGTCATGAAAGGGTCGGGAACACTGTCGAACACCGCTGCGACTCTAACCAACATTCTAACTTATGATATAGAATTTTTCAGATCAAAGAGCATCCCTTCCTCTTCACAAAATATGCTTTGTTGGAAGCGTGACAAATTCTTTCCAATTCAAGAATCTTAATGTCAAATCCTGTTAGCGTTCTGTATGGGCTATCCAAATTGTTCAACATCTATGCTTTTCCACCCAGCTCCACAGACCATCCCAATTTCCAACTCATCTTGATAGGCTACTGACTTGAATTCTAAAAAGAGAGCTATTATTAAAGTTCAACTCCAGATTCAGCTATTCATCCAAACAAATCTTCAGTGTTTATATGATTCTGGGGCTGTGCAATGTTTTGACAATGCGCCAAAAACTACATGTTCCTGAGGTTAGCAAGGGTTGAGTTGATGGTTAGTAAAGCCCTTTTTCATCTTTTTTACACTGGCAGCAAACAGACAGCATGTAGCTCTAAAATTCTATTACGAACGCAGTGACGTTTTACATAGTATTTCTGAAATTTTCGGTCTTTTGAGAAAAATCGGAAATTCTAAGATGCAGCCTTCCGAACGTACGATTCAGTTGCTAAGTGAGCTTTTTTCATCCAGCGTAGTTTCAAGACAATTCGCATCACCATGTTTCTTATCACTTACAGGTTAACAATTTGGAAAGTTCACACAGTCTTGAGATGTCAAATGAATAAAATGAAAGGACTTTCGAAAAGCATCTGACCTTACAATTACGCTTGCATATGAACTGACGAGTCGAGTGAGGAGGAGTTTTATGGTGTTGTGTTCAAAAGCTTGATTTCACAGTAAACATTATCGAGAAAGCCAAGTTAGCGCAAAATACGATGACGTCATTAGGTTGCACTTACGCGACTGGGTCGAATCGTAACGGTAAACAAAATGGAAGCGAGCAGAAGTGCAAAAGTTAAGACAAAGATCTGGGCAAACATCCTTGCTGGTTGTTGACGTGCGATGGTCCCCCCTGCGCTTTATTATAGGGTATGATTAGGTTGTGTAATAAGTTCTGTCCCATTTTTTCTTGCGATTTTTTCTTAATACTTCGCGCAATGTTCTGCAAATTGTTTATATGTATTTGAAAGCTCTAAGCCTTCTCTATTAAAACTTTCATTTCGGTTTTTTACATCAGAAGACTTGAAAGAGTTTTACAGCGTCAAATTTGGAAAATCAAACTGGGGAAAATCCATTTTCGACAACAACGTTATGTCGCCCCTCCAATTAGTCAGAATGCCTACGAATGAGCTCGAAAAATTTGCTACACGTAATAAAGAATGCTATAGCTTCTACTGCGCTTCAGGACTGCCAAAACTTTTTAAAAATCATTTCTGTAAACTTCAGGAAAGTCTTCTTTTCAAGCCTTTTCAATGTTTATGTTCGGCAACAACTGAGGGAGGACGGTAGGCGGATCGTTTAGAAAAGACAGAAGGGATGGTCTAAATTTAACGAATTCATAGGCTAAATACTCAAAATTCAACTCTTGGGAGCCATACAGCTTGAGCACGCGAGACGGCGAACATCGGCGTGAACAAAGTCTTGCTTTGCCGACTTTTGAAAAACTCATTAAATAGTTGTTGGAAGGAAGGGAACAAGCGCAAACAGTGAATGAAGCGTAAGAGTCTAATAGATTGTTTTGCTTGTTGCCAAGCTTGTTCAATAAGTTTTACTAACGAAAAGCGAGAAAAATTTGGAGGAAAAAATGTGTCAAAAATTGATTTTTCGGCTCTTTGGATTTTTTGTTTCATTGACAAAAATCTTTTTCAAGTTCTTGCTATGTTCGGAAATTTTGTATATAAGCCTGCAGAGCAGACTTGGACTTCCAAAAGCATATACACTTTGTCTCAAATTAAGTCAATGTTGTCGTGAAAAAACTAAAACAAAAAATGGGACAGAACTTATTGCACGACCTAATATAAAAAGCACATTGACTTCCTCAAAGACGTGGACAGGTGGAAGAGATCACCGGAAGCCATGAATAATCCAATAAAAATCACTTGTCGCACTTCGAACCATTCATTATATTTTTTTTAATTTTCATTGCTATGTTTATTACAAGTGATGAGTATGCTGCGCTTTGACCATCACAAACAAAGGTTGTTTGCTGATTAAAAACAAATCAAATGGAAAATATCACAGAAAGTGAAAATATGCATTCTCACCAAGAGCGCGATGGAGATTTAAACTTGATAAAGCCAGCTAAAGTTTCGCTTGCATGCGTGTTGCTAAACATAACAACCTGCACAGCGCTGGAAATAAATACTATTACAATGACGCTCAAAGATCGGAAGCTTCCATGTCGAATTTGAGTCAGGGTGGGTCAAGCTGCAAATCGTTTTTTAGAGAAAA